TTTTCCTAATAAAAAATGTACAGGATGTCCTTCTGAGACATTATTATGTTAAATAGTTTTAGCATATTATTTCATAATAAGACTTTTGATGTATGTACATTTTTCCTGTGGCGATTGTGTGTCCCAAGTCATATATGATATCTGCAAAAAAAAAAAATAAAACTTACGTTATCTGTAGTATAATTAAAGTTTGTTATTTAAATCACTTTAATTAAAAATGCGAGCCAACACAGGTTAGGGTGTGAAGTCGTATACTTTTGATACACTACGTCGGTTTGTGAAAGTCAATTTGTCTTTTTGATTTCTAATGAAAGAATTCAGTTTGTTTAATCCCACATAAATAAGACGAACTGCTGTTATTTTTGAAAAATCATTGAATTTTTCTGATATTGATGGAACATAAGGTATTATAAAAATGTAGTAAATTTTTGCTATTCTTCGTTATTCGTGTGAGTTACATCGTTATTCTGATTTCTAGATTTTTTTAAACAATCTCTTTTTGATGGTGTTACAAATAAGCTCCAAAGAATATCCGTTATTTAGTAAAATGTTGATTATTTTATGGAAAATTTAATTCGTGAAATTTTGAATGTGATAACATTAACACTCTATCCGTTAATCCCGTAATAGTACCTATTTTTTGACTTAATTGACATGAAAAATAATTTAAATATCTTGAAGAGGATGTAGGTTTTTGATATCAATTGTAAATCAGGTTTTTGTCTTCTTTGATTAAAGTTAGGTCTAAAAAATTTAATTTATCCCCATCAAACTCTATAGTGAATTTTAATCTAGACTCATATTCATTAAAATTTTTTAAAATTATATCAATATTCTATTTTTTAGTGGATGTCATCAACATACCTATAACAAAAATTTAATATGAACGGTAATTTTTCATGTGTAAATTCTTCTAAATCTTACATCACAAGAACCGCTGCAATTGGTGATAACAGAGATTCCATAGAAACGCCAAAAGATTGCTTATAAAACCCATCGTTAAAGCAAAAATAAGTGGAATCATATATATAATTAGTTATATTGCACATCACTGTATTTGCATTATATAATATTACTATTATATAGCATAACTGAATATTATAATTAAAAGAAATGTTTAACTTATATAACATAACTTCGTCAACACATAGAATTTGATTAATCGATTTTTTTTGAAACTTGAAACTTATATCCTTAATGTTCAGAAAAATAGCGTTTTGTTTATAATACATTTTATTTATAATATGCATTTTTGCGTTCCTAATATATTGATATATTTATTTCGTACAAACTTACCATGACTGGCTTGTAGCCAATTATAGACAACTGTCTCATTTTTGTAGCTAACGCTCCAGTAGGTCTATTTTGACAATTCCTTACTAATAATCCATGATGTCCTATAACGAGGGCAATCCACCTGACATTATTTGATTTCTCCTTGTCCACTCGTTTAATATCAGTCTCTTCAAATTGCGAAAAGTATTTCTTTGATGGCATAAGCTGATTTTGCTCGTTTAAACATAAAACAATGTCCTGTGTTATAAAATATGGTAACGGACGAATTATCGATATGTCCGTCTTGTTGTTGAACAACTCCTATTTAAAGGTAAGAATATTTTATGAAATAATATACACGTAAAGGAAAAGATTAGCTTTTAGGCAGTGGTATATGTACCTGACACGTTGCCAACACGTCCGAGAAAAGCATATTCGCCTTAGTCGAGCTTAAATTACTCTCTAGATAGGGATTTAAATATTTCTGTGTAATTATAAAATTTATTAATAAGTATCATTTTTCATCGAACTTATATACAAATAATTTGATCATAAATAATTTATTTATGTATTATATTTAATAAATAATTGATTTTTTTTGCGTACCTTTTCTAGAGAACTTTTTATAGTAGGTTTCAGAAATGGTCCATCGTATTCGGGTACTTCTATTCGAAGGCTGTAATCAAGTACGAGGTATTCGCGCGAAATAGAATAGTAATTCCCCCCACAGAATGTTTTAGACACGAATTCAGGTGCCATGATGTATCTGATTAGATCCAGGGGAAATATACTTTTTGTTGCCAAATATCCTAGAATACGTGCAGCTATAGATGGATACCTGTCATGAGAAACTCTTGTAAATATCTTTAAAATGGAACAACTCTTTTTTTTTCTAAAAAGCAGAAAAAAGAGAATATGATTTTTAAATAAAGTTTTAAAAATTATGTTATTATTGGATAATACTTCTGTATCTCGAATTGTCGAGTAGTATTCCAAGTAGTCCTCAATTCCTCGATCACGTTCTGGTAGACACTATTGCTTGAATCGATATCAAGAATAACAAAAGAATAAAGGAGTCTTTCAAAATCCTTCAATCTCGCAATCTTTAATTCCTTATTTAATCTGGAATTGTATCAGTCGTAAGCATTGCTTATCACAAATATTAATGGCGACTGCAAATGTAAAAATAAAATTTACCTTGTGATTATTCTGTCCATGAGCTCTTCGTTGTACACAGCAATTCTTCCACATGCTTGCGCGATATGTGTTAAAGATGACAACGTGTAATGTGGCTCGTATGGCGTCAAAGCTTTCAATAAATCTAGAAGCGATTTTAACTGTGTAAGATTTATGCTATATCTGTAAATAGAGTATTAAATATGAAATCAACATTTGCAAATCAGTGAATATTCAACACATCAAATTTATCTTACCGTACTAATTTTATAATGCTTCCGATGCTTACACTATGCATTTCATTTATTTCAGCTATAGATCTTTGGATGATATAATTCAGAAAATCTGCGCTTTGAATTCTCGTACTAGTCTTGAAAAAACCCAATGCTGCTATACCTAGCTCGTTGATCGACAGTTCATCCTTGCACTGTTCCAAATGATACTCAAACTCATACATATTCATAGGTGGCTTCCGGTGTACATTAAGAAAAAACAAAACCTGAACTAATTGCTGAGGACTAAGTTTTTGAGGTTTATTGCCTATCTTCCTAATGGAATACCACATGTATTGAGAAAAATAACGGTTAATCCCATGTGTCATCTGATATATTATGTCACAGAGATATAATGTCTGCTCTATTGGTAAACTTAACTTAAAGAAACGCTTCATACACTCTTTATCTATCAATTTACAGAGATTGATGTAGAAGTTACAGTGTTTCATATAATTGAACAGTACCAGATGCCGCATTATAGTCATCAGTTCGTCGTTGGTCAACTTTTCTATTTTTAGTTTGCTGAAAGCTTCCATATATTGGAGTAACTCTATCTTCTCTTCATTATTATAAGAAAAGTTATAGGACAGTTTCTTTACAGCGGATACTATTTCAGCGTTCGTCATCAAATTCCAATCCTGTTCCAGGATTTTCAGTGCTTCCTTGTTTGTGACATAAGCATACGTCGTGCTCGGCCGCATCACTAACTTTTTATATTTCCACGAGTTCATGAAAAAATTGTGACCGTACACATTTTCTCGTATCTTTTCTGGACCACTGTTCTCGTTCTCGTTCTTATTGCCGATGTCAGGAGTGCTAGCGTGTACTCCCAGGATTTTTTCCGAATCGATACGTGCCACGGTCGAAGTACTATACTTATGCTTTGGTAAAGCACCGTACATCCAGTGCACGAAGTTGCTATTGTCAGAACCTCTCAATAACATCGAGTACACGCTTCGCAGACGACCTAACCGCTGCATGAGCACGCTCATCGTGAAAGCCGAGTAAAAAGATGCTATTCGTTGAAGACTTTCACCATGAATTATTTCATTAACATTAAAATTTAAGATATTCGTCACAAATTTCCAGAGGTAGAGTCTTCCCTCGTTTTTATTCTATCTTGCTTTTCACTGATTGTTGGAGGTTAAAATTACTAGTACATCCGAGAATACATCTTACTTTCCACTGCAAATTTGAGGTTAGAATATATGTAATGCATACACACACACGCGCACGCTCACACACACGAAACCTCTCGACCTGACATCTTGTATATAAAATGTGAATTTCATAACGCAATTGCGCATCCATCTTGAATTGCGCAGTTTTACTTATTTTTTTTTTAAATGTAGATTTTTTCCAAACATTGTCTCTCTCTTTATAATGTTTTTTAGATATCTTTTAGCATATATTTATGCAATATTTGGATTCCTACTGAATTAATTTTTCATTTACTATGTCAAAAAAATAATAAAAATAATAATGTATATTTGTATATAAATAACATACCAATAATAATCACTATATATAGTCACTACATTAGTTACATAATAAAACAAGCTTCATTTCTTGAAAAGATTTACAACTTTCATAGTAAATAATTTAAATAGCTAGCTTCTTATTTTACAAAAATACTTCTATTGTTCTTATTAAAAAATATTTTAATAATTTTATAAAAATATAATAATTATTATATAAGAAAAAAAACTCAAATCATTTTTTAAAAATTAAGTTAATAAGAATAGGATTACGAGCTAAGTAAGGTTTCGTCTATATTATTATATAAAAATTTATATACAAAAAATAAAAAACAAATTTTTCCGTATATAAGAAAATCCATTTCCGAAAGTTTTGTGTCTCGATGAGTAATTTAAAAAGGTAATTTAAATTTTAATTAGGCCTTTTCTCTGTTCCAAACACATTAAATAAGTTCATAAAAGTAAACAACCCAGCAAACGAGAATGGATTGAAACGAATTGAAATGGATTCAGATTTTCAGAAATATTAATTCACGAATGTTAAAATGAATGCTTTTCAATTCTGAATGCATTTTTATTCATTTATAGGAATTGCATAGAGCATATCTCTATGCCTTTCAATCTAAAAATAATATAGCTTTTCCTGTGCATTGTGAATACTGTTTAATTCAAAATTTTGAATAGGAAATGCAGTTTTTCAATTCAATTGCATCCAATTGAATCCAATTAAATCCAAAAAAAGTATTCGCTATTTAAAATACGCGCATTTGGATAGAAAAAAATTTCAATCCATTTTAATTCATTCTCGTTTGCTGGAAAAGACAAACCTTTATCATACCAAGATGTGGTGTGTTAAATTTCTTGTTTTGATTATGAGACAAGTTATGTCGATCAAAAGAAGAGATTATGTTTACAAACGAGAGTTTATGAGTACTCTTCTGATATTTTAATAAAGAACTGGAATCTCCATCAGTTATTTCGGACCATCGTATTAATTTCAATCATGATTTTAATTAGAAGAAAGTTAAAATTTTGGATACAGAACCATTTTATAATAATATCAGAAATAGTGCATATAAAGAAATTACAATCTCAAGATTTAAATAAACAAACCGATATGTAGTCTTTATTCGACATATCTATATCTTCCCATACTACAGTCCCATACTGTAGTATGTTCCTTTCCTTAATGCTTTTTAGTATACTTCCTATTTTCACACTTTTCCTACCTAGCGTCTTATTCTCTCTTATCAGAACAGTCATTTTCGATATATAAAAAATTTGATTTCTCTTACCTAAAAAACTGAGTTTCTTTTAGCAAGATAGTTCAAGACGCCGTTTTCGGATAATTTATTTAAAAAATTTTGCGACGAATTACAACCAATTCTTCGGATTGAAATTTAGTCTTTTTAATTGTTGAACGTGTGTGTTATTTTGATTACAATAAACTCCGAACATTATCCCAAGCAGAGCAGAGCACGATAACGTTAAAATGGTATTAAAATAAATCGGAAATGATTGAGAAATGACTTTTAATGATCATTTGGATATCATATTGATTTGTTATTTTGTTTGGATGCTTTTGGCTACTTCCGCTTGACTCCACTTTAAAACATCCGTTGCATACTTTACTTTAAGACATCCGTTGACGACTACAATAGCAATTTAATAATATATTTCTTTGGAATTTATTGTTCTTAATGTTATAATCAGAGCGACGATATTAATTAATATCGTTGGAATTTTAAAATTTGTATATTGTTAACATTAAGAATGATCTGATTGGATTGTCAAAACGTATATTCTAATAAATTTTCTGTTTGTTATTTAATAATATAGTATTAAGACCTTGCTTGGCTCTATCAAGATCTTGCTTAGCTCTATTCTTATTATTATATTTTTTTTTTTTTTTAATTAATACATTGATAAATTACAATATCTTAAACTCAATCTTCAATAAGTTTGAAGAGCATATAAATTTGTTTGATTAACGTTTAATCTACTACACAAAAAAGACGATAAAAATAATGTACCTAATAACAAATGTTAATAGCGCGATATTGTGGTAAGGCATCGCAGGCTTCATTTCTTCAAAAAGATTCACAACTTCCACAGCAATAAATATATCGATGATGTGATCGAAGTTTATTAGCTGTTGTGCGATGCAAATAATACACGTTTAATAACTACTGCGCCCATAAAACATAATATAACAAACCTCCTTTTTTTATCAAGTATGTACATATACTTTATTTGAAATATAATTGAAACATAATTTTGAACAACATATATATATAT